AGTCATATAGAACAACCGTTTCCGAGCCTAGAAACAGCAGAGTCTTATCAGTGCGTAAGGCTGACATGTTGTACTTGAGGACTAGATTGGTAGACTGAGCCTCTATGCTGATAGAGGTTTGAGAGCGCAAACTGAGAGAAGCTAGAGTGCAGACTAGACTGGAATAGACAGCTAGGAATATTACTGAGGGACACTGTGTGAGGTATGGTAGGACAAGAGGACAAAACTAAAGTACAGTAGCGGAAGTAGTGCTACTTAAATAGGCCAGGCTAATAGGGTTTAATATGTATGAAACACTGAGTTTGGATCAGTGATATACATGAAACAGGTTTCACTGGGTTGTATCAGTGATCAGGGTGAGATGTGATAGATAAGTAACATGATGTAGGTGAGATGCGATTGAGAGGTAACATGATAGATATGAAACGTTTGATATAAGGGAGACCGATCAGATGATGGGATTGGTTGTATAGTACAGGGTTAACAACGAATAGTTAGTAAAGAAAAGAAACCCCCTGCGAAGCTATAACAGTTAGTATTCAGAGGACAAGTCTATATACCCAAGAACACTAAACTTTGACAGGATCTCATCTAGGAAGCCCACAATTCTCCTACCACAGGACACCCTGGGCGATACAAGACTCAGGAGATCTTGCAAAGAACCTATTGGTGGTCCACCCTTGCACACAATGTCAGTGAATACATCACTGGTTGCGCAACTTGTCAAGAAAACAAAGTCATCACACATAGGAACTCACCGGACCTAGTGCCCATCACAACAGAACATCATCTTCCATTCTAATTCATCGCCATGGACTTTATCACGGATCTACCTCGGAGCAATGACTTTGACAGTTGTCTAGTGGTTACTGATCACAACTGTACCAAGGCCTCGGTATTCATACCCTGCAACAAGACAGCCACAGTATCTGAAACTGCCACCCTGTATCAGAACCACGTCTTCAGAAGATTTGGACTACCCATTAAAGCTATTTCCGATAGAGGACCACAGTTTGCATCACAAATGTTCAGGGAACTATGTGCTAAATTAGGCATCAAACAGAACATTTCTAGCGCCTTCCACCCTCAGACTGATGGACAATCAGAACGTGTTAACCAGGACTTAGAATTGTATCTTTGGATCTTTTGCAATCACCGAGCAACTGACTGGACTAGTCACTTGCCACTAGCAGAATTCGCGCATAACAATAGATATCATGACGCGATCAAGACATCTCCTTTCCAAGCACTCATGGGTTACCAACCCCAGCATAATATTCCCGCTGTGGGAAAAACAGACACTCCAGACATCACTTCTAGACTCACCCAGCTAGCACACCTTTGCACAGAAATCCAATCCAGTATCCGACTAGCAGAGGAAACTGTCAAGAAACAAAATAAGGACAAGTTTGTCAAATACACACCTGGTCAGAAGGTATGGCTGGAAGCTACTAACCTCAAAGGCCTCCACCCAAAAGCCAAACTAGGAACAAAGCGTTACGGACCCTTCACCATCAATCAGAAACTGTCATCAGTGGTGTACTGGCTGAAGTTACCGCCCAAATGGAAGATTCATCCTGTGTTCCATGCCGGACTACTCTATCCTTATTCAGAAACAATGATGCATGGAAAGAACTACCTCTGACCGCCCCCGGAACTAATCAAGAACCAGGAGGAGTTTGAAATCAAACGTATCATTGATTCGAAAATGGTTGGCAAGCAAACACTATACCGGGTACGGTGGAAAGGATACCCAGCATCGGATGACTCCTGGTTGCCAAAGGCCAAACTTTCACATGCCAAAGATGCTTTGGCCGACTTCCTACAACCAAACAAAGGATAGGTCTTCATAAGAACAACTTTCCTTCGACTCCTTCAATGGCATCCAACACAATCCTCCTCGTCCTCCTTCTCCTTACCTGGTTCTTCCTCGCCGTCCTCTTCCTCTTCGCCGCTATCGCCCTCTTTGTCCTCAAGGACAGTTATTCTGTCAAGGTCAACCTCGAGCGCATCCCCACTCCCATCGCCACCACCTCCGTCGACGAACAAGCCCTAAATTGGTCAAATAACGGCGCACGAGTAATGTCCCCCATCGAGTTAATCCCCACTCTGTTTACTGATTTACTTAGTGGTGAACCAAGTCGCACTCCCCGCCGCCGTCACCCTCACCATCGTTGACGAGCATCCCCAACTCCTCCTCCTCGCCCTACTGGGCTTTTGCCTCACCACCCTCCTAGCCGTCCTCGCCCTCGCCCTCATTGTCCCCCTCACCCTTTGTCTCACCATCCGCCACCTCGAGAGGGAACACCAGTGGGCCTACAACATAGCCACCACTGCCCAGCGACCCCTCCCCCATACGACAACCATGCTCCCCGTCATTGCTGCCAACCGAGACAGCAACAACCCCACTCAAGTATATTTTGAGTACATCCGGGAGCATCAAGATTAGTGTCTGGGGTCTTTCTTTGTCCGTAGTAGTTGCCTTTGTTTGTATTCTGGGACTGCTCTTTTCTTGGAAAATCACTTTTTGGCTTTCACTTATGCCTGCTGAGCGAAACACAAGGTCAAGGGCCAACAATGCGAATCAACCTAATTTGTGTCGTCCTCTTGCTCCTGCTGGCAATTCAAATACTCCGACGTTTGGGCCCCAGAGAGCGCCTACTCCTTACCCTTCTCACATCCAAACACTAGAAGAGCACTTCAACACTGGCGTAATAGAAATGCTGACTCCTATTTGGCCTATTACAAATCTCCAACCCCAGCAAAACTCCGATGACTCTTCAATGGAATTTCTCAACGAAGGAGGTTTTTGCTATCCTTTTTCCCCCATCCCTAACATCACTCATCATCCGTTCCTTATTCCAGGATCATCTGATTCTTCCCATAATGACGCCGTGATCCTACACCAATTCCCTGGCCCGTTGGAGATCTCCCACAATCAATCCAATGCTACCCCTGGATCTTACCACATTGCACCTGCACAAACCTTTCCTTCTCAGTCATCAGCACTCATCAAATCCTCTACAAATCCTGATAGTCCCATCGCTGCATCCACTGATTACGCCGACATGCCTCCTCTATCTTCCGACGTCTCGGACAATGAAAGCCTCGAATATCCATCTAATCTGCATCTCTTAGCCAACACCAGTGAGTATGTCACTGCATCCGAAGGACACAGCGACAACCCACAGGAGTTTGTAGTCTACAGCGACGACATGGTTCAGCGACCTTCTGATCCCAACATCCAAGCCTGGTGATCTATTGCCTTTGACACCTCCACCCCGATTCAAGATGTCGACCCCCTTGAATGCGTATTACCTCACTTTCCAGGAGCCTACGCACATTCTCTCAGCCGTCTGCCAATGGGGGTTCCTATCCATCTTAATCCTGCCTTCGGTTTATGCAGAATCTTGCTAACCACGGCCGACATGCTATGAACTGCGGAACCGTGGAGCAATCAAAGTTCTTCAGGTGGCGATTGGGAAGAGGACACTTGAGAGTTTTTGCCAACACGGGACGACAATTTATTGGAAAGTCTGTGGGCATCCCTTCAGGATATTAAAGATCAAAGCATCATCGATAAGGTCGACCAATTTCGAGCTGTTGATGCAAAGATCGACTTACTGCTCGCTGCGCGGCGATCGATAAACAAGGAATTGCGTTGTTCAGAGGAAGAGATGAGTCAATATAGAACTCGTCTACAGAACGCTAATCTGGAACATCGGCTTGACCTTCACGAATTCACGGTCATACCCCCTTCCTCTGGCGCCATACCTCGACGACTTCATTTTTGTGTACGTTGCAAAATGGATGGGCACCTGCAAAGTGAGTGCTGGCATTGGCTGTGCTCATCTTGCGGGTTATTGCACCCTCAACATGCGTTCTGCACCATTGACAACATCCACCCAGGGCAAACTACCTGTCCCACAACGGAACCCAGGTATCTGGTCGAACAACGAGAAGCACACTAACTGTAACAACGAATCTGGAGGAGGGGGTAATGTTACAGCCTTGCAGGAGGAGGGTTTCTTTTCTCTGTCTAACTATTTGTCGTTGACCCTGTACTTTACAAACTGATCCCATCACTTGATGTATCTCATCTACATCAGGGTTTCATATCTATCATGTTCTCTTTTGATCGTGTTTCACCTACATCATGTTACCTATCTATTCGCGTTTCATCCTTATCACTGATACAACCCAGTGAAACCTGTTTCATATATATCAACTGATCCAACTCAGTGTTTCATACTTATTAAACTCTATTTGCGTAGTACTATTTAAGTAGCACTACTTACACTACTGTACTTTAGTTTTGTCCTCTT